GGATGGAGCCGGGGCCGGGGCCTGCCCGGGAAGGCTAGGGGTGTGGGGGTGATGGCTGGAAGAGGCCTGAGGGCTCAGTGGCGAAGCCAATCCCTGCAAGAAAGAGGTACATCTGACTGATGGATCCAGGCAGGGAAACTGAGGCACCGGCGGAAGGACCCGGCGGGGGGTGGAAGAGCTCTCCACTGCGCGGCACACAGCCCTGCCTCTAACCCATGCCTGGAGCCGCCACCTCCCCCCAGAGCATGCCTGAGAAGGTGGGAAGGGTGCACCCGCATTAAAGACCAGCGCGCGTGCAAATGCGTACGTGCACGCTCAGAGGTACCCCCCCTACCCGCACCCCCTGGCTCCTCAGACCTTTCCAGCACCCCCCTTTTCTCATCTGCACTTGGAATCCCCCTCTCTCAGATGCTGAATGCCACCCACCCACGCACATGCACCCATACATTCACACACACATTCCCGTTCCTAACCTCGTCGAGGTTGCCACCGCCCCATAAATTGAGTGGGGGGAGGGAAGCAGCTGGCATTGGGGACCTAAAACGGGTGGGGGAGAATGGGGGTTTCTTTTGCCCCTGCTCTGGTCCCCATCACTCCTTGCTCTTTCCCCTCCCAGGCTTTGCGCCCAAATAGATACCTGAATGTCTGCAGAATCTCCGCCCGGCCAGAACCGAGGCCGGGACCGCCAGGCAGCCGGGGTGGTGGGCCCGGGTTCCCGGGGGCCCACATGGCGTGGGGGGGCATCTGGATTCCCTTGGTGTCAGTATCTGCGCCCGGGCATCGGATGCTGGTCCCTCCTCCCGGTGCGCCCCGGGCACAGCGCCGGCTGGGGAGGAGAGAGGCTGGGGGGGCGGGGGGTGCGAAAGGCGGAGCTCTGCCTTGCTATTTATAGCCTCGTCTCCGCGGGTGGGGGCGTCGGGCACCAAACCGTTCCCCCACCCATGCACACACACACCCCTAAACCTGGAGCTCCAACCCCGATTTTCCTGGCTTAGCCGACCGCCCTTCGGTCCCAACAAACCTAAAGGATTCTTAGAAGATTCCTCTGCCACCCAGACCGACACCAACTAAATTCGTTCTTGAGCTTCTGCAGACCCCCCTTCTCGCTCGCTCGGTGTGCTCCTGTGCGCTTGTGCGCCAGACCTGACCTACCTACCGCGGGGCACGGGGCGCCCTGTGCGGAGGGGTGGAGGGCGGCGGTGGGGATCCGCAGCCGGAGTCCATGCTGTGCGGAGAGCGAACAGAGCACACAGCGCAGATGAACTTGGACCGCAGCTCCCTGCACGGGCCTCTTAAATAAGTATGAGGAGGGCGGGGACCTTGGGTCGTCTTTAGGAAAGGCCAGGGGCATTCCCGGATGCCTCCTCCCCATATTCTTGCGGGCGAGGGTGCGCGGAGACAAGAGCGAACCTTGTGCCACATCCTCTCTCCTGGCACCTCTTTAAGCACACAGCGCAGATGAACTTGGACCGCAGCTCCCTGCACGGGCCTCTTAAATAAGTATGAGGAGGGCGGGGACCTTGGGTCGTCTTTAGGAAAGGCCAGGGGCATTCCCGGATGCCTCCTCCCCATATTCTTGCGGGCGAGGGTGCGCGGAGACAAGAGCGAACCTTGTGCCACATCCTCTCTCCTGGCACCTCTTTACTCGTCTTGCTTAGGTTATTTTTTTCATCTTGCGTGGAAGTCTCGGTCCAAATCGCTCCTCAAGTCTCGCTCCCCTGTGGTCGCAATTGGTTTCTCTCACTGCCTCTGCCTCTCCTTGCCACCTGCCCTGTCTCCATGGTTACCATAGCTTCCATCTGCATATTTTAGGAATGAGTTTGTGTCCTGCTGGAAGGCTTCAGAGGAAGTGGGGGTGGGGGTGAGGAAAAATTCCCCAAGGATTTGGAAAACTCACCTGAGATAATTCAGAGGCCGGAGGCCACCGGACACAAGATCCTAAAAATAAAGGGGGAGGGGGGAGAGAAATACTGCAGGGAAGCCGCCCATTTTTACCAGCTACCACTTATTGGACACCAGCTATGTGCCAAGTACTTTACATACGTATCTCCCGTCCTCACAACAACACTACAAAGAAGGAATTATCTTCAATTTATAAGAAACAGGGACTTAGGCCCTAACTGGTTTGGCTCAGCAGATAGAGCATCGGCCTGCGGACTGAAGGGTTCTGGGTTCGATTCCAGTCAGGGGTATGTACCTTGGTTGTGGGCACATCCCCAGTGGGAGGTGTGCAGGAGGCAGCTGATTGATGTTTCTCTCTCATCGATGTTTCTAACACTCTGTCCCTCTCCTTCCTCTCTGTAAAAAATCAATAAAATATTTTTTTAAAAAAAGAAACAGGGACTTAGTAAAGTTAAGAGAGTTCTCCAAAGCCTCACAGCTCTGTTTCTGTCTTATCCCAAAGACAGCGTACTTGCCACCACCCTGCAGCCTTCCAAGCCCAGAGGCGTTGCTCCCAGGCCACTGCTCTGACACCTCAGAGGTTCTTGACTCCTATATTTTATCACCCCTCTGAGCTCTTCCCTCAGTTTCTGGGCCGTGTGTGTGTGTGTGTGTGTGTGTGTGTGTGTGTGTACGTAAGACTCCTCTTCCTGAAGCACCCATCTTATATAAAAACTGCGATTTGAAATTTTAACCCTGCTCTTTTGGCCTCTGTAAATGCTTGCTGGCTTAAATAATGAGGAAAAAAGATGACTCCCTGTTCCAGAGAGGCCATAAACCTTCCCCAGACGAAGTTATCTGTGCTGGCGCCAGGCCAAGCCTTTGGTTGAGGTCTCAAAGGCCCAGCACATAGAACTGTGCAAAGAGGACGGGAGAAACCCCATCTTTGGGAGACAAAGAGGGTAAAAAGGTATAAATACAGGAAATTTCCTTTGTGACTTGGCCCAGAATTCTAGAGACATTTTTTTCTCTGGGCCGTGCATCATCATCATCATCATCACATCATCATCAATGTAACGCCATCTCTCTGAGTGTTGCTTGGTTCTTCTCCGGTCTTCTGTAACATTCCCACCAGGTGCCCTTACCAAGGGCGAAGAGGAGCTGGAAGGCAATGGAAAGTGCAGGAAACACTGGCTCCTGCCCTGCCCCCTAATTCTAGTTCTCTGATTCCTAACCTTCCTCCCCCCAAAACCTCTCCCCATCTTCTTTCAGGTCTCAAAGGCCCAGCACATAGAACTGTGCAAAGGGGATCGGAAAAAACCCATATTTGGGAGACAAAGAGGGTAAAAAGGTATAAATACAGGAAATTTCCTTTGTGACTTGGCCCAGAATTCTAGAGACATTTTTTCCTCTGGGCCGTGCATCATCATCATCATCATCATCAATGTAACTCCATCTCTCTGAGCGTTGCTTGGTTCTTCTCCGGTCTTCTGTAACATTCCCACCAGGTGCCCTTACCAAGGGTGAAGAGGAGGTGGAAGGCAATGGAAAGTGCAGGAAACACTGGCTCCTGCCCTGCCCCCTAACTCTAATTCTCTGATTCCTAACCTTCCTCCCCCCCAACCCTCTCCCCATCTTCTTTCAGATATGGCAGCAACCCATGGAAAGAAACATTTTTCTTTCTTTCTTTTTTATTTATTTATTTTATTTTAACCATCTTTAATTAATTTTTAATTGAATATAGTGCAATGACATTGAACAATACATTTATACAAGTTTCCGGGGTACAATTCTATAATACATCATTTGTATATTGTATCATGTGTTCACCACTCCAAGCCCCCCTTAACCTTCTCCTTTCTCCCTCACCTTTATTTTTTAAGATCGTCCTTTAGTGTGAAGAAGATAAGGCAGCTAAGGGGTGTGTGTGTGTGTGTGTGTGTGTGTGTGTGTGTGTGTGTGTTTGCTTGCTTGCT